GTTTCTAGTTGACATATAAAGCCATAAGGGCACTGACAATAACGTACATTGGCTTTAGAGTCTAATATTTTAATTATTTGAGGACACAGAAGAGTCTCAGCTTTGTCCTCGTGTTCCCCGTCTCTAAAGATCGTGGGAGTTGGCTGACAGTGACAAAAGATTTGTTTGCATATCAAGTGACGGTCGTTTGTGCAGGAAGATTAAACACTAAGGTCAATGTTGAGCCTGCAGAAGCACTTGACAAAGAATGGCATTACAGTTGTTATTAATGTGTGTGTTTAAATTGGATACACACACTCATGTTTCGTGTGCGTGTGCGTGTGTGTATTAAGGGGGTGTGAGAGGCTTTTAGCAAGATCAACAGGCAAAGCGGGTAAACAGGCTCAACAGTGGCCATCACCTGTGGAGGATGTTATAGCTTTAGTGAGCACACAAGCCCTGCCTTTAACTTTCAAACTGTGGCTGAAAGATTTCAGGGGATTTTCACAGGCTACATATGCAGAATTATCTCAGCTGCTGTCACAACCACATACACGCAAAAATAGGTATGTGGCCGACATGAAGTAGCTGCAATGAGACTGTTTTGGAAAAAGTTCTGCTGTGACACAGGAGACTTAATTCTCGTGTACTGCTGCTTTGATTTTAAACAGTCGGAAAATGTATGAAGAGTTGAAATAACCTAGAACTACCTGACACTAGGCTGGATTTGATTTTCTCTTTATCTACATGTTAAAATGCTCAGCTTTTCAACAAAACACAAAGGTGACAAAGGTCAGTTATTTAGGTCTGTACAGAAAACCTACACTAACAACTACTGCAGACTGTGACTTCTTATCCTGCAACCTGTGTCCTAAAATTACATTTATATTTTAATCATTTGCTCTATTTTCATGGTGACTAAAGCATCCACGAGAGACAATAAAAACTAAAGTAATGGTCAAAGTTGTCAAAGTGAAATTTAAGATGTGCTGATAGATTCACGTAATCAACTCATACATTGAGTAACATTACAAGTAAACATTCCACCTTAAAAGTTGCCGGCAGTCAGCCCAGTGAATTAAGTTATTTTTTCTCAGACTGCAACTGCTGTGAGAGGCAAAAATCATCATTTTGTGTTATAGGTACAGTCTACTAATGTATGTAAAACTCTCCATGGTATGAACAGTGGTTACATGAGCCTCAAAACCAGCCACAACTCAGCCCTGAGCAGAGTGACTGTCTGCTATTGACTAATCAACAAACTGCAGTATGCACAGCTCCAGATCTAGGTGCTAGGTATCCCAACAGAGGGGTGACCAAAAATGGGGACGGTGCGAAAGCTTCCATTGGTACCATCCACAACTTTTCACAATGAAAACGGAAAAAAAGCGTACTGAACTGTACTGCTCGATGGAAACAGGGCTTATGTCCACCATCTCCTTCACTACCTTCCTACTATTTCTGTGTGATACAAGAAAGCAGCACTTATTTCCAGTAAATGTAATCCAGCAAAATATATGTAGCAATCCCATATAGTTGTCTATAAACATATTTTTAGGAGACAGGGTTGCATTTTGTTGTCCTTCCTTAAAAATTCCTCACAAGCCTGTCTTCCATCCACAATAAATGCATCCCATTGGTTTACCTCCATCTCTGCTACGTGCAACACTATTTACAGTTGCTACACATTTGTTTTACCACCACAAATGTGATGAAACTGTGTTGACTTTCCCACAACAAGGAAAGGTCTAAGGCAATAGGTATGGACCACTGAGGTGCGACCTGAAAATTAAATGGGAAACAAGGGAACCCAGTGCAGCTTCAAACCACCATTGTTTACTCTGAACACTCTTGTACACACACACACACACACACACACACACACACACAACGGCTGTACAAACACTGTTTGTTGACTCGGGAGGAGACACAGGAGGTAGGTGGAAAGAAGGGGGGCTGATGTGGAAGAGGGATGTCATACATTTTCTAAGGCATTTTAGGACAATGGTGTCAGAGGGTGTAATTTACAAAGACTAAAGGGTTAAATCAATATAGTTAATCTTGACACTAATTTCTCATTATGGTGCAATAAAGGGCCTTGGTTAAAAATACACACGCTATGGCAACTGACAGCAATATCTAACACACTGGCCACATCTAAAGGTGATCATATCTACATACATTACTGTATAAAGCCAAAGATAAAAGAAAAAAGCCCTGGTCTGAATGTCCCTTATCAGTACAAAACAACAGAGTAGCTATCAGCCACAGCTACCTAATTTAACCTCAACATTGTATGTGAGACAAAGCTAAAGCACAATACAGAATGACTGACAAGCCAGGATTCAAAGGGAAATCTTTCACTCCCTAGGCGAGCATTCAGATCAAATATAGCCCTGCATTAAACAACACAAGGGGCGGCACTGGTGTGGGCATGCTGCTAAAGGTACCAGAAGGAAGATGAAATGTGATACTATCAGGCAAGGTTTACAAAGGCAAAGTTATCAGAGCAGCAACTGTTATATCCTGTGTTGCTATGATTGCAAAGTAAACAGAATTCTGCCAAATGCGTGTGCTCTTGCACGTACTTGATTAGTCGTCATAAAGGGTTCACATTTACCTCCATGGGATATTTAAGGTACAGGAGCAGAACTGTATGATGCACTGTACTCTAAATGTTAATTATTGTATTGTGATTACATACAGTGAATAAACAGGACATGTTAAAGCATTTAAGAGGTATTTTACATCAACAACTCCCATGACCATAGAAGCCCTGACAAAAGTTACCAATGCAGCAAAAGTTCAGCCAGGTTCAATTTTTTGTCCTCTGTGTCAGCACCCTCACTGAGCCAACGCAGTGTCCTCATTAAAATTAACAAGCCAGACATGTATTTTTGAGGTGACATTGTTGGTCTAAACACGGCCATACAGTACAGTATGCACACCAAGCATGACCAGCAAAATATGAATGCTACACAGGACTCCAACAAGACACCAGAGACATTTGTGTTCCTGGTTCATGGACAGTCCCTAAAAAGGTAGTAAAAATTTACCAAACACTATAATATTACACAACAATATGAAATTATTGTTGTATCTAAAACACAATGAAAAAACTTTCAGTTTTAAACTTTGAATCTTCCTAAACTGTGGTCAGTTTACTAGTGATACAGTGTGATAAACTGATAACTATTTTTGAATCCAAGAATATACACTCATCAGCCACTTTATTAGGTACACCTTGCTAGTACCAGGTTGGACCCCTTTTGGCTTCAGAACATAGATTCAACAAGGTGCTGGAAACATTCCTCAGAGATTCCTGGTGACTGTGGAGGCCATTGGAGTGCAGTGAACGCACTGTCATGTTCAAGAAACCAGTTTGAGATGATTTGAGCTTTGTGACATGGTGCGTTACCCTGCTGGAAGTAGCCATCAGAAGATGGGTACACTGTGGTCATAAAGGGATGGACACGGTCAGCAACAATACTCAGGTAGGCTGTGGTGTTTAAACCATGCTCAGTTGGTACTAAGGGGCCCAAAGTGTGCCAAGAAAATATCCCCCACACCATTACACCACCACCAGCAGCCTGAACCCTTGATACAAGGCAGGATGGATCCATGCTTTCATGTTGTTCACACCAAAGTCTGACCCTACCATCTGAATGTGGCAGCAGAAATCCAGACTCATTAGACCAGGCAACGTTTTTCCAATCTTCTATTGTCCAGTTTTGGTGAGTCTGTGTGAATTGTAGCCTCAGTTTCCTGTTGTTAGCTGACAGGGGTGGCACCTGGTGTGGTCTTCTGCTGCTGTAGCCCATCTGCTTCAAGGCTGGATGTGTTGTTGGTTCAGAGATGGTCTTCTGCAGACCTTGGTTGGAACCAGTGGTTATTTGAGTCACTGTTGCCTCTCTATTAGGGATAGACCGATATGGATTTTTTAGGGCCGATGCCGATACCGATTTTTTTCCATCACCCTTAGCCGATGACCGATTATGGACTGCCGATTTTCTTGAGCCGATATTTGGGACCAATACTGCTTTTGCTCCCTCAATTTACATAAAAAAAATGACACAATGATAACAAACATTACAGGTCTCAAGTTTAAAATAAGAAACATTTATTGAACAGTAAAAAATACTAAAACAAGATGGAAAGTTGAGGTAGAACAGGTAGAATATTATTATTATTATTATTACACATTCAAATAAAAAAAGAGTTCAGTGCTCTTAAATCTTCCAGTAATGTCTTTATAAAATAAACAAATATTTAAGCTGAAGCATAAATAAAACAACAACTACTGTACACAGTAGGATTCAACAGCTTTGTTCAACTTAACCACATATTTTCAAATGAAAAAAGTGCCAGGGAAAAATAAATCCGCGAACCCACGCGCGTATCGGCCGATGCCAATACAAGTAAAAAACTCAAACATCGGCCCGATATATCGGCCGGCCGATGTATCGGTCTATCCTTACTCTCTATCATCTTGAACCAGTCTGGCCATTCTCCTCTGACCTCTGGCACCAACAAGGCATTTTCATCCAGAGAACTGCTGCTCACTGGATGTTTCCTCTTTTGGGACCATCCTCTGTAAACCCTAGAGATGGTTGTGTGTGAAAATCTCAGTAGATCAACAGTTTCTGACAGACCGGCCCGTCTAGCACCAACAACCGTGCCACGTTCAAAGTCATTTAAATCACCTTTCTTCCCCATTCTGATACTCAGTTTGAACTTCAGCAGGTTGTCTTGACCATGTCTACATGTCTAAATGCACTGAGTTGCTGCCACGTGATTTACTGATGAGCTATTTGCTTTAACAAGCAGTTGAACAGGTGTACCTAATAAAGTGGCTGGTGAGAGTGTGTGTGTGCATATAGATAGATATATAGATATTTAGCTCCATTATAACATAAAGATAGCTTGTTCTGGTACCAGTGTTATAGAATCTGCAGGTGACTGTAGAAAAATATGAAGCTGTGTGACAATAACCCAGTTTTCCAGAGCACACTGTAACTCACCTTGTCAGCTGTCTTCAGTAACATCATTAGACGGTGGGCGGAGAGCTGGTGCTTCAGTCTGTGGTTGTTTCTGAGGGTCACGTGTTTCAAAACACTGCTCACTTGGCCTGGAAGTAACAGATAATAATCTCATATGGATTTTATGAAACGTCATGGTGGCCCCAGCTTCTCCTACTTCACCTCATAAAGTGACGTCAACGTACAAATCTCAATACTATCCAAACAGCTAGCTAGTTAAGACTGCTATTTAGCATTTTATCTCCGAGAATATGCGCAAAATGTAAAAAGTTACTGTACTAGAACTGCAATAAGTTTACCTAACTAGCTAATTAATGGTAACAGTTACATCATTGATAAATTCGTCGTTAGCTAACGTTACGGTTAACGTTGCCTGTCAGGCAGCAAACCGTTAACGGCTCACCTTCTGTCTGACGGACGACTGTCGTTCGTTGCTGCCTTATATTTTAATTTTCTTGTACCTTTTCTCCTTCTGACGCGCTCTGTTAATAATCTAACAATTTAACCTTTGACTTTATATAAAAGTTTAAAGTAATAAATCGACGGTAACTGACGATGGTTCCGACCATAATCAGTGCAGGTGCGGACTAAACCATCTGCGTCATAAGGAAGGGGGTTCGAAGGGATTGCTACGTGCTGCGTCACCATGGTAACCGCCACACTCGAGGCCCCCAGTAAATTTAGGATTTGCTTTTGTATTTAAATTCAATTCAATTCAATTCAGTTTTATTTATAAAGCCCAATATCACAAATCACAATTTGCCTCACAGGGCTAAATGAAATCTACACAATACACACATAAATAGTTTTTGTCTAAGTTTGCGGCTGTGTCACGAGTTAATGAGGGTTTTTTGTTTTGTTTGGTTTTGTGTTTTTGTCAAATAAAAGTTAAAATAATAAAAACCCACGCATAACAGTATCCTTAAAGGTCCAGTGTGTAAGATTTACGGGGATATACTGGCAGAAATTAAATTGAATACTTTAGTGTATAATCACCCGATTATTAGGAATAGCCTAAATGTGTTTTTGTTACCTTAGAATGAGCCGTTAATATAATAAGTATGTTTTCTTTGGTGTACAATCACCTGAAATTGTGTTTTCATTACCTTAGCATGAGCCGTTTATATCTACACAGGGAGCAGGTCCTCACTCATGGAGATCACCATGTTGCACTGCCATGTAGACCAGAGCAAACAAATCAAAGACTGGCTCTAGATAGGACCATTCACGTTTTCACGCTGGTCACCGTAGTTAGCAGCCCCTCCACAAGGTCCAGTGTCGATTTTTTAACGTGAAACTGCTTTAGTCAGTGTTATTACCAGCTTAAATCACCTGTTGCGTTTGATTTGGAAAGACCATATTTAGTTATCGGAGAAATAATGTGAGCACATACTGGCAGGTGCTGGGCAAGTGGCCTGTTTGCGATGTGCTAAACAGCATCAGAGAAACAGATTTGTTGTATGAAATAGCTTCATTCAGTGTTTTTACTAGTTTTTATCACCTGGTCCGTTTGTTTTGGAGAGGTAAAGAGGTAAAGGGTTCATTGTACCTCTTGTACAATGAACCCTGAAGGAAATCTAACCAAGTGAAGTTTCAGCTGGTTGCAATTTGCAATCCTCACCATTAGATGCTACTAAATCTCGCTAAATCTTACACACTGGACCCTTAACCTATCCATGACCCTTCAAGTGGACAAACATGTCCACCTGTCATTTAGCCATTTGTTATTGTTGCTGGGATAAAAATGCATTACAGGGTCAAATAATGGATTTTCATGCTGAAAGTTGGGATTTTCAAATTTAACCCCAAATTACCCCCCTTGACAAAAATCACCCCCTGTGACCTTTTGTCGGACACTTTCTAGAAAATGGACATTTTTGTCCACTTGAAGGGTCGTGGATAGGATAAAAATGCATTACAAGGTCAAATAATGGATTTTCGTGCTGAAAGTTGAGATTTTGAAATTTCATCCAGAATGACACCCCCATGCAAAAAAAATGTATTAATATTTGGCAGTATACATGTGTGATAATAATCATATGTGTATAATAACAGTAGAAGTATGACTAATGACTAATGACTAATGATGGCAGCAGCAGCAGCAGCAGCAGGAGGCATCTGGCAGGACCACGGCAGCAGCACAACCACACACGTCAGGCTGTCCAGGCACCGCTGCGATATGAGTTAAGTTAGTTAAGTTAGTTATGAGTTAGTGACATCCAGAATGGCCAAATGTTTCTGTGTTGTGAAAAAAAATTGAATTAAATATAAAGAAAACCTTAAAAAAGAGGAATTTACAGAGGGGGGATAAATCCAAAGCCAACAAAACAAACCCAGTCACACCACCTACTCAATACTGTATCTATTTTCACATTTCTAAAAGACTATATAAAGTAGGTAGATAGCGACGATTTTTTTTGGTGCACAATGTACAAAAATGTGTGTCCTTATAAATTCCAGCTCATGGCTTTCTGTCCTATAGTGAGGCCTATATGCAGATATTGCACCATATTATTATAGTCAACTGGTTTCAGTCATTTCACTCATATAAACCAAGTTTGATCTGGCTTTTCATCACACACTTGTTTTTTCCACCATTTTTTTTTTATTTCCTTATGCATCAGCACATCTTTGTGTGTGTGTGTGAACACAAGCCAACAAAACCCACAACACACTCTGTATCAACGTCATATTTGTGTCACACCGGAACGAAACTTATCCTGAAAGTAAAAAGCCTCAAACATCAAATACAGCGTTTTGTAACCTCTCACTTTCACTCTCGTCAGTACACAGAAAAGGTGACTGGTCTAATACAATGTACCAAAGCAAACACAAAGCCCACGGCGGATAAGAGGAGTCCTGTTTAAGCAGCCATTAGCGAGTGTTTGAGTTAAAGAAGCCATTTAGTAAAGCAGTGCTGTCATGTGGTATTTGCTCCGACACTGCTTAAAGGCTGGCTAGTTAAACAGGCAGGGGAGGAAGGGTCAATATTTTCTCAGGCAGGTCTGGAGACACAACGGTTGAGATTGGCTGTTTCCCACATTCTTACCACTTCCAACTGGTGTTTAAACTGGTCAGGCACAAGACAGGATGGACATCCTGTGGTCAGCAAATATCAACACAGGATGAAATGACCGGCTAATATTTGGTGATTTATGGTGAGAAGTAATGCATCAGACATGTCACCATTTTTTACAGTGGTATGCCAAAAGCCCTGTTTACACAGCCAGCTGTGAGCCAGGGATTAATAAGACTGTTTATTAAACTGGACCAACGATTAATCACCTCAATATCATGGTATAAAGTAAAACACAGTGCTACTGCAAAGGAGAGGGGCACCCACAATACCCACTGACAATACTGTATTGTCCAATCAATATTTATTCCAGCATTCTTTGCACTAATACACCCACCCCTGCACTGTTGTTTACAGAATCAGACTTGTATATAGACATTCAACACATTCTCACTCCGACCTCGTCACATATCGTCGTTTGGTCATGGGCTTTCCACGTCCAGATACACTGTGAAAGGTACTCTGGATGTGTTGGTTGTTGACGTTCTGGGACGCCATGTCAAGTTCTGCCTGTTACATGCATTGTCTTCTTTCAAAATACACTTCAGTTTTCACAGGAAATTTACCTTTTACATACAGTCTCTTTCAAAATAAAATAAAGCACTACGTCGGTACAACACTAAGAATTGAGGGTTTTTTTCTCCAACAACAAACGCACGTGGTTGGGTTTAACGTTTGTTCTTGTCCCGCTGCATTTCCCCCTGATACTGCAGAGCGGCATTAAACTATAACGGCAACCGGCCGCGAATCATGCCAATGTTGAAGGATGGCTTTTTCGTCAGTTTCTGATGCCGCAAGTCACTGCCCAAGTGTCGGATTTCAATGACTTCGGAGTGAGGATGGGTTGAGACATAGTATATTGTTCATTGTTGCTTCATGTTTTTATTTCATCTGCTTGTTTGTGCACATTGAGAGTCAAATTGGAAGCTATGTGTAAAACATGCTTGGCCACTACATCTGATTCAAATTGTGAACACATCGGGTTACTTTAAGGTCCAGTGTGTAAGATTTAGGTGGATTTAGTGACATCTAGTGGTGAGGATTAGAGATTGCAACCAGCTAAGTTATCAGCAGAGGTCTCTTCCTCTCCAAAATAAACAGACCAGGTGATTTAAACTGGTAAAAATACTAAATGAAGCAATTCAGTGTTTCTCCTAAACTGTTTGGCCTGTAGCAGATGTGCCGCTAGCCCCTGCTAATGTATACCCACCTGTTTTCTCTTATAACTTATGATCCAGAGGTTCGGTAGGTTTCCACCGGGAACCGAACTATCCACGGAGGTTTCCTTCTCTCCAAAACAAACAGACCAGAGGATTTAAATTTGTAAGAACACTGAATAAAACAGTTTCATGATAAAAGTCTGTGTTTTTTTCAAAGCTGTTCCGCTTGTCGCAGAGGGGCTGCTAACTATGGTGGCCAACACAAAAACACAAAAACATAAATGGCCCTATCTGGAGCCAGTGTTTGATTTGCCCATTTTATGCCACCATAGAAGAACAAGGCGTTCTCCGTGGACGACGACCTGCTCACTATGTAGATATAAATGTCTCATTCTAAGGTGACAAGAATTTTTATCATCAGGTTGTTATACACCAAAGAAAACATCTGTTATAGTTTATTTCTGCCAATATACCCCCCTAAATCCCACACACTGGACCTTTAACCTTAAAAATACAACCTCACCATTATGTAACGTAACAGAAAGCGCCAGTATCACTGGAACATCTTGTAAAATCTCCCACATAGAATGTGCGGTGAAAAATTACCAAAAGCTATTCAGCAGGAACACAGCAGGCATTTTATAAATCAAAATCCAAGATTTTAACCCCCTATGAAATTGTCACCTTTCAAAAAACATATTCAAGTGAGTAGACAGTGTGACTTAATGTTCAGTGACCTTTAATAAGAAAAAGAAACCCAAGCTCATCTAAGATCAACCAGTTCCAGTAACCTAATTGCCTTCCATAGTCAATTTGCCAAGTGCACATTGCCCATTACCACGCACACTTTTCAGCTTCTTTTGCTGTGAAGTAAAAATGCTGCAATTTCAATCTTAGGAAGACATTAATGACAGCTCATCATCCAGGCAGAAAAGTAGTTCAGCAAATCAGTGACCTCGTCATCCTGGTTGTCCAGGCATTCACTGTGAAATGATACCAATTAGGCAGCAGGGCGTCCTGGGAAGCACAAAGCTGTCTGGAGTCAGTGGCACTGAGCACACCTCCATTAATGGAGGACTGTCAGACTCACAGTGTTATTGGATCATTTCAGGTATGAAGAGTAACTTGCAGACAGCACTATTCTAAAGCTTTTTTAAAAAAGTGATAATAGATATAACATCAAGCCCATATCTCAGGCATTTGAACAGACCTGACGAACATATTCCTCAATGATATACATTCAGAAACATCAGCTTTCTAAAGGTATTTAGTTCCACCTGCTGTTCAGATTGTAAACTACACATGTTGTCACTGCTGAGCGTGGCCATCACTTGTTTCCTTCTAGGTTTACTGGTGCTGAGGTAAATTTAATTTACCTGTTATTTTTAACAGAAAGGTCAGAATGAAGTTTGTAGAATGGGGTCTCATGCAGGAAGCAATGAAAGAACATTTTTTTCTTTTATTTCTGATCGAATCCACAGTTTGTTTTTATTTTGTTGATACATATTGATTTCTGTGACACACCAGTGTTTTCTTATATTTCCTCTTTTCTTAGGGAAGAGAAAATTTCACAAGTGGTCGAGAGGGTTCTTACTAAGATAAGAGAAAAACATCTGGTTATGACAGTCAACAAATTGTTTGTCCAATGTGAGGAAGTTTGAAATCTGAGGAACATAGAAAATGCATGAATATCATGTATTTAAATTTAAATCATTTTATTTTAGTTTTTATTTATTATTTTCTTATTCATTATAAAATAATAAATCTTATATTATATTCTTATTATTTTATTCATTATTTCTTTTTTTTATATTATATTTTGATTATTATTTCAGAGTTATTATAATGGTTGGATTATGACATTCATGGTCTAAAGAAATACTACTATACTGAGCCAAGTGATCCCAGTTACTGTGATACCAGTAACTAAGATGACCAGTGCTGGAATGTAACTAAGTACTGTACTTAAGCACAGATTTAAGGTACTTGTATTCTTTTTTTTTTTTTTTTTAATTTTCTGCTTCCACTCTAGTAGTTACTAATTACTTTACAAATCAAGATGATGTACACAAACCATAAGAAAATATACAAGTTCAGCTGAAATAATTATTCAGTTGATTAGAAAAATTAATTGATGACTCTTTGATGACTGTTTAAGTCATTTTTCATGCACAAATATTTCATGGTTTCAGCTTCTCAAATATAAGAACTTGCTGCTTTTCCTTTTGATTATTTTGATATATGAAACTGATTTAATGTTTTCAGCGTTAACTGCTTTTACTTTTGATACTTAAATACATTTTCCTAATTATACTTACATACTTTTACTTCACTAAAATTTTCAATGCAGGATTTTTACTAGTAACAAAGTGTTTTTACAGTATATGATATTCATGCATTTTTTTTATGTTCCTCAATTTAAAACTTTTCCTCATGTTGGACAAACAGTTTGTCTGCCGACACATCATTTAACAGCTTGATGAATATTGTGCTATTGCTGGGTTTTTGATGTTCCTGTAGTGCCAGTGCTCACACTCACAAATCAAATTTTATCTTTTTAAAGTTTATTTTAAAAGGACGTCAGTTTCACTTCTGCAGATGTTCCTCTGACATCCTTTTGTGGTGGCACCTCTCCAGTTCTGGGGCATGTACAGTTGTATTTGCCCTTATATAAAACACCTGCCCTTACATAGTGTTTAGAGGGCGTTACCTATGCTAATAGGTTACTTATGATCACATGGGATTCATCATTCAGCACACCTGGGTAAAAGCAGATTTGGGTAGTTAAGAATGTTTGATGCATCTGGAGTTGTCTTCTCTTAAAGGAAAATTAAGAGAAAATAAAAGGAAACTTTAAGAGAATGTTGCTGTATGAGGCCCACTGTTGTATTCATAAAGTACAGTGCAGTGCAGTACACCAACATAAATGAGCCTTTGTCAAACTAAAACATAAACAAACCAACACTGAAATATTATCACCAGGGAGAAAGAAGAAAGAAGTGGCTCTGCTTTGTAAATACTTTAATTGTTCACAATCAGCACTTTGTATTGGATGACACAGTGTTCCTAGAAGCTGACGCTACAACAATCTGTCATCCAATATTTGCAACACCAACACACTCAAAGCATTTGAAATATGTTGTTGGAATTCTACACAACCAGAGTGCAGGCAGAGAGCTCCAGCTCACAGGATTTCAGCAGCAGTGAGAAGAAAAACATACAGTCTTGCTAGTGTACGCTGCTACCTGGTTGTGTAGTTTGGTTGGACATTTCTCACCTGTTGACAACCCAAACTGTTGCACAAACAGGCCCAGAGTGTCGACTTGTCAACAAGGCTAACTGTGTGCTTAGCCTTAAAATGAGCCTTTGACTTCAGGCTGAGTGGGTCATTGTGGCTTTGACAGAAAGTTGGAGGAGATGAGTGTTTGACCTCTTGCCTGTGGAGTTTAGGCTGTTTATGTAACTTATTTGACAGGAAGTCCTGTTGACATTAAAATTAATTAAAAGAGTCTTTCCTGTTATGCAGCAGCATTTCTGTCCCAATGAGTTACTTCTTCGTACTTTCTTTAAAATGTGTCAAATATTAATGACGAATGGCCTAAATTATAGATTAAGGTCTTCCTTATCACACAAACACAAAATAATGCACATGAAAAATACTTATTTTTGCTTTACTGAGATTTATTTGGTACATGTGCTCAATTATACCCTGTCACCTTCAACCTTCTGCGGAGGGCAAGCGGTTTAACAGTAAGGCTTATTACAATATACAAAAGAACACAGACATATAATACAGTAAGGGGGACAACAGTAGTCACTGGTATCAGACAGATAAAATAAATAGTGGCCAAATATGACTAAAATGACCCAGTGCAAAGTGATCAACCTCTACAAGAACTATAAGCCATTAAATGATACAACATATCACCCATTCTTGAGATTTGGGACTCACATGTCCCACCAAGAAAATAAATAAATAAAT